GAATACTGTGCCATAAACAAATCTTCCATAGCGGGGAAAAAGAGCGCAGGATGCATATACTCAACTCCAACCATCGCCGTATAGTATTTATTGGCAATCGCTAACATTGTATTCATATTAGTATTAGTAGTATTAATAGTATTAATATTATTACTAGTATTAATATTAGTAGTGCTTGTCATTCTCTGATAGTTTTCATGTTGTTCCTTCTGTGGAGGCCATTCCATTGTAAAGAAGCGATGATCATTAAGGGAAACATAAAACCAATCCAGTATATTTCTTGTATGAATACCAATAAGAGCTACTCTGTTTTCTAACCTGGATCCACGCTTGTATGGAATCTCCCTTTCATTACTACTACTATTTCTATTCTCCTTCTTCTTCTTCTTATCATTATTATTATTATTATTATTATTACATTTGTCCACACGACATGTCTCTGGCCAAAGTGTATTATGCAATATTTGTAAAACTCTCGCAGCCCCAGAAAGATCTCCAGCAAGTAAACCACAGGTTTCTACCCCTTCAGGTAGTACTTCATATCCACTAGAGTGAGAAATATACTCAAATCCATTATTTACACAGGCATCATACCATATTCCATCTCTTCTTGTTTTTCTCATAGTGTTATGATCATCATTATGAAATACCATCAATACACGAAATAGACATCTTTCCGGTATAGAATCCCAGAGAATCTGTTCAGGAGATATGGATTCATCTACAATTAAAACACAGCCAGTTGTTAAGGTAGACTTCTGCAGTAATTCCTCTCCTAACACTGTGGAGGTATTTCTCCTATTAGATCTTTCACTATCTGTGAGGATTGTAATACACACATCTGTAGAGAAGTATTTATTATTAACAGGAATATCAGGTAAAGATATACAATCATTATCATTATCATCATTATTATATAATTTGAAGGCAATTTCTTCTGGCCATCTTAACAATTCCGCTGCCAGTTGAAGTGCCAGACCAGTGTGAGATGTGCCATACTCTAAAAGAACTAAATGACCACATGGATCTGTACACGTTGTTGTTGATGTTGTTTTCATTCTTTTTTTTTTCCCCCAATAAGAAGAAGAAAAAGAAAAAGAAAAAATCCTAATATCCACACACACACACTCTCTCTCTTGTGTATACACAAGAAGAAAATAATAATAACAACAAGAAAAAAAGGGTCAATGAAAAAGAAATAAATTGAAAACTCTGCATTATATTCTTACAATAAGGTTTCATAACACAGTCTGTTTCCTTTTCCAAAGCCCCTTTTTTTCCTCTTCACAGTTTTCTACTTCCAATAAAACTTTGAATACTTTCATCAAACGTATTATTATTTTTTTTTTCTTTCTTTCTTTTTCGTTGTCAAGAAGAGTGAAAATTACATATAGATACAGAGAAGAAAACAAAAAAAAAAAGCCCAAAAGGAAAGGTATTGCAAAAACTCATAGAATACAGGAGGTGTTATCTATCTATCTATATACATACATATATATATAGATAGATAGATATATATATATACACCAGTGAAAGCCATCTGAGCAGAAGACAGCAGAGAAAGGAGGAATAAATTTACGGGCAAAGAAAAAAGAAAAAGAAAAAGGAGGTAGCACATATACCCCTTTGATCCCAACACTATGTAATCCAAGAACATATAAAGAAAGAAGAATAGAAAAAAAGTGAAAAAAAAGCCCAATTTGTTTTTTTTCTTTATTTTTAGCAGGTGGCAGTACTTTCACGTAAAACCCGCATAAGTCGCGCATCATAAAATCGACTGAGATGTATATTATCCGTCAAACCACAGGATGGAAGAGATTCTACAATATTTATTCTATTCTCTTTTTGCTTCTTCTTGTTCTTTTTCTCCTTCTTGCAATTGCTGCTGTTGCTTTTGTTGTTGTTGTTGTTGTTGTTGTTATTATCAAGATCATCAACAGTATTATTATTATTGGCATCTAAACATACCTCCGACACAAACCCCATCGTAGCAGGAAGTTTGGTTGAGTCCTGCACGACTAAACACGAGTGCCGCACACACGCCCGTGGAACTGCAGATCTCACTGTATATATAGAATCACCACTACTTACACTACTACACACTGTTCTTCTTTTTGTAGTAGTAGCAGTAGTGTTAGTAGCGGAATAGGGCCGAACAGAACCGGTCGTTCCATTTGATTTAATATTTGGCATAAATGTCCTTCCAGAGAAGAGTCGACTACCTTCACTGCT